ACCCTCCTCACCTTGACTCCTGGGACTGCCTGGACCACCTCTGCCCTCTGACCTCAGGACTGGAGCCTCAGTCCTCTGCCTTCCTCTCCTGGTTCCTGGAGTCCTGTGAGAGAAAGGGAGGGGGCAGCTCTGCGGTATCCTGTGGCACAGCCCTGAGCCTTCCATGACAGTATGAGGGGTAGACTCTGCGAGGTCCCCCAAGTTGTGTGGTAGGAGGTCCCCTCACGGCTCCCTTGTAGTGCTCACCTTTCCCCTGGCACGGCCTGGTCCCTCCCCTATGGGGACCTGCATGGAAATTCTGAACAAGGTCCGAGCCTGAACAGAAAGCGCTAAGGGGCTCCACATGCAGCAGCCGCACCTACCTAGGGTTTCCTGTGGGTCCTAGGCTGGGGAGATGCTCAGTCCTCTACTCCTCCTCACGTCCTGCCTTGTCCTCCCAACACTGACCACAGGGGCGGGGGTCTCCTCAGTCGCCCCTCGGGTTTGGGGAGTCCAGCCTCTGCCGACCTGAAGTCTCCACCGTCCGGCGGAAAAACCTCACCTCCCAAGGTCCCTAAGCCAGAGGCCAAGAATCTGCTCGCCCCGCTCTAGGGCCCCCAAGAGTCCACACAAGGGCCAGGATCCCTGTCTCCCTGTTGGGGTCTTTCTGCCTCTTTCCATCCTCAAATGCAGCCTGGACTCCAGGCAGGACCGCGGACTGTCCTGGACTGTTCCGTCCGCCATTTTGAGACCGTGCCGCTTTCACGAGATCCCCGGTCTCTCTGAGACCAGCATGTGAGGAAGGCAGACAGGCAGTGTGCTCTTCTTACCCCAAGCTCTCCCAGGATCGACTACAGGGGCGGGGGTCTGTGGGGTTCCGTCGGTCCTCACGCAGGGTCCCCTCAGCCCTCCTTCAGGCACCTCGCCTTGCCTCTGAGCAGGACCCGGGATTCTCGGCTCTCCCCAACTGAAGCCCCGCCCCTTATACCAGGGCCCGGTCTCTCCAAGACCCGGATGTCAGGAAGTCAGACCGTGCCTGCTGCGCTCATTCTACCCCCACGGTTGCCCTGGACTGACAACAGAAACGAGCTTCTCTGACGTGTCCTGTGATTGCAGTCCAAGGTCCTCTAGTTCTCCTCCTCAGGGTCCTCAACCTGACACCCCGCCAGACCTGGGAATTGGACCACCTGAGGCCCTACCCCATATCCAAGGTACCCAGTCTGAGACCCGGATGTCAGAGAGTGAGACCACGCACCTTGGGCTCATCCTACCCCACGACCACCAAGGACCAACAGCAGCTACAGGCTTCTCTGAGGTCTCTTTTGATTGGGGTCAGGGTCCCCTCAGTCCTCCCTCAGAGTCCCCAAATTGAAACTCCGCAGGAGCTGGGCTTCTTCCCTCTGCTCACTTGAGGACACGCCCCCTTCTCCCAGGTCCCCAGTTTCTCTGAGACCTGGATGCCAGGTAATGTAGCATGTGCTCATCCACCCTCTGTGCTCCCTGAGCCTTGATGTGAGGGTCCCACCTCTGGTCAACATAGGGGGCCTCCCCGGATCTGCCAGGGCTCAAGATGAGGTCCCTGAGGGAGATTATAAGGAACCCCACAGATGCCTACCCCTGCTGTCAGCCCTGAGCCACCCTGCTGGTGGGATGAGCACTTGGCAGCCTGTTCTGACTTCCGCATCTGTGTCTCAGATACATTAGGCAACTGTCCGAAGGGGCAGGGCCTCAACTGGGCAGAGGGGAAGATCTTAGTTCTTTGGAGGGTCAAGGTGAGGATGCTGAGGGAGGACTGAGGGGACCCTGAACCCCAGAGCAGAGTGGGCTCTGGGAGGACATAGGGTGGATGAACATATGCTGCATTTCCTGACATCCAGGTCTCAGAGAGACTAGGGACCTGGTATAGGGGGCTGACTTCCTGACATCCAATCTCAAACTGGGGACCTGGTGTAGGCAGCTGACTTCCTAACATACGGGGTTCAGACTGGGGTCCTGATATAGGGAGCAGACTTCCTGACATCTGGTTCTCAGGGCGACTGGAGTCCTGGTTTAAGGGCTGGGGGCTTAGTAGGGGAGAGGAGAGAATCCGAAGACCTACCCAGAGACAAGATGAGGTCCTTGAGCAGGAATGAAGAGACCCCACAGATTCCCGCCTCTGTCGTCAGCCCTGGGAGCCCCTGGGGTGAGAAGAACACACTAGACCTGTCCTGACTTCCTGACACCCTGGTCTCTGAGAGACTGGGGACCTGGTGTGAGGAGCAGGGACTCAGGGGCGGAGAGGACAGAGCCCAAGCGAGTCGGTTTTTCCCATCAGGTGACCAGCTTTAGCATCAGTCCTTCCAATGCATATTCACAGTTGATTTCCTTTAGGATGGGCTGGCTTGACCTCCTTGCTGTCCGGGGTACTTTCAAGAGTCTTCCCCAGCACCACAGTAGTACCATTTTATACATAGTCTTGTGTATCTGTTAATCTCAAACTCCTAATTTATCCCTTCCCCTGCTTTTCCTCTTTGGTAACCATAAATTTGTTCTCTGAGTCTGTTTCTGCTTTGTAAATAATTTCTTTTGTAGCATCTTTTTAGATTCCACATATAAGTGATACCATACAATATTTGTCTTTCTCTTTCTGCCTGACTTCTCTTAATATGATAATCTCTAGGTCCATTTATGTTGCTACCGATGGCATCACTTCATTATTTTCCATGGCTGAGAAGGATTCCTGTGTGTGTGTGTGTGTGTGTGTGCACAAACCACATCTTCTTTCTTCTTTATCTAATCATCCACTGATGGACATTTGGGTTCCTCCATATCTTGTCTGCTGTAAATAGTGTTGCAATGAACATTGGGGTGCATGTATATTTTCATATTAGAGTTTCTGTCTTTTCCAGGTATATATTTAGGAGTGGGATTGTTGGATCATCTGGTAGTTCTGTTTGTAGTTGTTTAAGGATCCTCCATGCGGTTCTCCCTATTGACTGTACCAATTTACACTGTTCACCAACAGTGTACAAAGGTTCCCTTTTCTCTGCACCCTCTCCAGCATTTATTCTTCATAGGTTTTTATGATGATGGCCATTCTGATCAGTGTAAGGTGATATTTCATTGGAGTGCTGATTTGTATTTGAATATTAATTAGGAGTGTTGAGCTTCTTTTCATGTGCCTGTTGGCCATCTGTGTCGTCTTTGAAGAAAGGGTCTTCTTTGGAGAAAGGGTTTTGTGTCAGGGTCACACAGGCTCAAACTACGAACCGTGTTGGTTCAGGAGGCCAGCAACTGAGGTCAAGGTGTTGACTGATGCTGGTTCTCATGATGGAGGTGGAGGGTCTGTCCCATTTCTCCCCCCTCACTTCGGGGGTTTTGCTGGCCATGGTGGCCGTGTCTGGGCTTGGAGAGCTCCACCTTCCTCTTCACCTGGAGTTCTCCTCTGTGTCTGTCTGTCTCTAAATGTGTCCTTTGTATGGAGACAGCCGTCCTGTTAGAGGAGGTTCCATCTGCATGAGCTCACTTGACCACCGTCAGCTCTGAGAAGACCTTTCCTTTGTCTGTAAGGTCACGCCGAGGTACTTGGGGTTGAGACTCCAGCACCTGACTCTGAGGGGACGCGATGTTACTCCTCACACCCTACAAAGGCTCTAAAGTAAGAACACACTGGATTGTTCTAAGGATGAAAGGACGGCCTGTGTAGCTACTGGGGGTGAATCCAGGGGTGAGGAGAGCAGGCCACTAGGGTAGGAGCCAGATCAGGTGGGGCCTTGTGGGCCTGTGAGAACTGTGGCTTTGCTGTGTTCGGGGAAGGAAAGGCCCGGAAGGCCCTGAGCTGGGTGCCTCTGGGACTTTGTCCCCATCATCACAGAAACATGGAAACGGAGGCTCCCTGCTCGGTGCTGAGATGCTGTTGATGTTCAGGCCCATGGCTCTGCTCCTCTGCCTCCACCCCCCTCGAATAAACAGGGAACCCTAACCAGGTACAAGGAAATAAGTGAGAATGGAGGGGCGAGTGGTCAGGTCCCTTGCAGTCATGGGCTATCTCTCTATCCCTCGGTTCCTCCTCAGTGGTCAAATGAGGTGACAGTAACCTAGCGGGTTATTTGAGGTTTGAATTCTGTGATCCTTGCATGGTGCCATCCCAGGCCCTGGCAAGGACATGACCGTCCCAGTAGTTTCTGCTCTCTGTTCTACTCTAGGCTCTGGCCAGGGACCAGGGCATCTGCTGACAGTGGAGGCCATGGTGTGAGAAGGGATGGGAGGAAGGTGGCTCCCAAAGGTGAAGACACCCGGGAAAGATACCTGGCAGGGCATCTGAGGTCCAGGGCAGCCCCAGGGTCGAGGCCAGATTGGTTAGCACAGATCTGCACTCAGCAGCCCTGGTCGAAGATGGGGGGATCTGCAGAGCATGGGCAGTGATGGGGCCAGGGAGCTGAGGGGTGGGGTGGGGCCCAGTGTTGGGGGAAACCAAGCGCAGGACTGTCCCTGTCTGTGCTGGGAGAGGACCAGAGCCCAGCCACTGGGCTGTGAAGCCAGGGGACCCACCCTCCCTCCTGAGTGCTCCCAGGGTTTCAACTCCCTCTTTCTTCAAACTCACCTCATGCCTCTCTCCCGCTGTCCCGCCCTCCTTCCTGACCTCCCCTCAGACTGCATGTGATGGACGGGTCCTCTGGCTCGCCAACGCCTGTCAACAGACAGTGTGGAGATGGGTGGAAGGAGTCAGCCCTCTGGGACCCTCCCCTCTGTGTCAGCAGGCTTGGAGGATGCTCAGACACGTGGGGCTGATGTCCGGCCCAGGGCTGTGAGCTTGCAGGCCGCTGTGTCAGGCTGCTGGCCCTTGTGGATCTGTGTTTCCACAGCCACGTGAGGCCCTGGGAGCCCTGGGAGGTGAAGTTCAGTTGTCTGTCCTTCTGAAAGACTTATCCAGGTTTCTTCTCAAATGATGTCAAGAACCTGGAAACGTGGTCTGTGGCCTGTGCTATGCGGACCTGGCACTGTACCCTGACCATCCACATCAGGCAGCAGACTGGGAAGACGCGGTCTCGTGGGAGCTCCTGGAGCAGAGGCTGAGGATGAGCCCCGCCCAGATCCAGGTCTGCATGTGGCACTTGTCTCTGTGCATGTACATATGTGGGTGTGTGTGTGTGTGTGTGTGTGTGTGTGTGTGTGTGTGTGCCCGGCAGAGAACATGAGAGGCACCACAGCACCCAGCCTGGGTTCCCCATCCCCACTGCCTGCAGCAGGGCCTGAGCAAGTCCCCTGACTCCCCAGAAGTGAGGCCCCACAGCAACACCTCTCTGCTGGTGAATCACTTGGGGACCTGGTATCCACAGGCTCCCCGCCGGGGCCCTCCTGCTCTGACCCTGCAGCCTGCAGTGGGCAGACTGAGAACTGCCCATGTCCTGGTGGGTTCCTGGAGCACCAGGCCTCTCCCTTTCATTTTTCTCCCTCCCTCGCTTGGCATTGCCCTGAATTCCCTTGGCCGAGGTGAGCCCGCTGAAAGGCTCAGACAGAGGATCCAGTTCACCAAGGTTCCCTTCCGTAATGTGATCTTACTCTCTAGTAGGCGTGACTTTGAATCACCTTGTTCTCCTTCTGTGTCCTGTCTTTGCACACAGATCTCGTGGACATTGGGGTCACTTTGCTGTGCCCAGAAAACCTAGGTCCTGACGAGGTGGAAGAGCTGGAGAATCAAGCCCTGCTACTCGATCTGCAACTGAAGTAATGACTGCGCTTGCTAACTCCCGGTGGCTGCCGCATCCTGTCCCGGGGAGGGCTGGGAAGGACATCTTCCAGGTGGACATCCCTGATCACCTGATCCCCTTTGGGCAGGAAGCCTGTCCAGACTAGGCTTTCAAGTGGAAGGTGACTGAGAGACCAGGTCATGGTGACACTGTCCAGTCGCCACTGTGCCCTGGACGTGCTCGTCTGGTTCGGTCTGAATTGGCCCCGCCCTGTGGTGGGCTGCCCACTTGGGGCAGGGCCGGGCCCAAGACTCCTATTGTGTGCTGCTGCCCTGGACTCGGCGAGAGTCCCTGGGACTTTGCCCTTTATGAAAAAATGGCATCGCCACTCGTTTTGGCCCTGCTGGGTCTGGGTGGTCGTGAATGTGTTGTTAAGAAACAAGTTAGTGTTTTTCCCTCTATGTTCTGGTCCAAACTCCCCAGTTTTGGAAGTGTCCAGCAGGTGATGGGGGAAGGCCAGGGGCTGGGCTGAGTGTCAGCAGCCAGCGAGGCCTCGGGCACGTGGAGAGGCCTGCAGGCCCAGAAACAGGCCGTGGTTTGTCTTTGCAGGTGACCCTTGCCTTGCTGTAAAGTGTCCCTTGGCTCACAAAGTGTGTATTTGACGCGCTGCCTGGCTATTGCACGTCCAAAGACAAGGGCTGGCATTCACCACCCTTGTACTTGACTTTGGAAACCTTGTACTTGGCTTTGCGTTTGGGGTCATGTGTTTGCAAGGCCTTTGGCTGGCGGGGTCACCCTGCTTTCCAGTAGGCCTCTTGGGGAGACCCCTGGATTGGGAGCTAGAGACTCTCAACTACTGATGAGAAACTTGTGGTATCACTGGGGGACCCAGGAGGAGCCCCTTCTGCTTTAGGGTGCATGACTCATGGAAGGTGACACCCCCAAGGTCAGGAGCCTGGCTGGGCTGTCTGCTGAGTGGCAGGCAAGGCACAGGGACCGGCCCGTCCTGGGCTCGCCTCAGCACTCAGCTTGTGGGTCAGACCTTTGGCCGAGCGTGTGAAATGCTGCTGCTTCAGATGAAAATGGACCTTGAGGACTGGACTGAAGCTGGCCTGGGGTGTGGGCTTCCAGCCTCATATGGCTCATCCAGTGCCATGTGTGAATAGCATGGACAGACAGAAAGAACACAGACTCACAGTTCTTGTTCAATTCTTTATTTACTCCAGTGAAGTTTGCTTTACTTTATTGGAGCCAGAAATAGAATTTTATTACAAGGCAGTGCTCTTGAGTGTCCCTGGGGACCTGGAAGCTTAGGGATTGGGGTTGTCCTTGAACTGCTCACAGATGGCACACTTGTAATCTGAGGACTCCTTCTCCTCGTCCACTTCAGGGGCGTCGTTTGGGGCCACAACTGAAACAGCCGCCTTCACGATGGAATAATAGGTGCTGTACATAATCATCTCATCACTGAACCATAATCTGGGTACTCTGGGAACTCTCCAGCGGTTCCCCTATGGTGTCCCTTCCAGCAGTAGCTGGGGGTACAGGCGTGGCATTGCTGTACGTACCCTCTCCACTGGGGCCACCCTGCTCACTGGGAAGATGGTTGGCCCCGGCCTGCACAGCTACACTGCCCATAAACCAAAGGCCACAGAACACAAAAGAGTGCAGGGGGTTCTGTGAGCAGTTGGGGATCCCTTTGGGGCCTTCTTGTCAGCTTCTTGGGTGGACTCATTGTGATGGAATTGAAGAGAGTGTCTGGTCATCAACACTCGCTTCTTTCTCTTTGGAGTCATTGTTGTGCTGGTGGCGGGCTGAGCAGTTGTTATGGGGTCACCATTCCTCCAGATGTTCTGCAGGAAGAGAGGCTTGTCTCTCTGAAAGTTGGAGTTGTGATAGATCTGAAAGGAAATGGATTACTTTAGCCAATGTGGGGGAGAATAGCTATTCCTTGCCAACCTCATCCCCACCACAGCCCTGGCCTTCCCTAAGGAGGGAGACAAGGTCTCTTCATTCCTGGTAGGTTATGAGGCCCTAGTGAGTGTGTTCCCTAGAGCTCCCCCGGGGCCAGCCTCACTTGAGGTATTACTGGCCATCCTTGACATCAGGTGGCCTCTCAGGGTCTGGAGGCACCCATGTGGATCCTGTCTAAGGGGGTTTGTGGAACACAAAAGGCCCTGCTTTCTTCTCTTTCCTTGACCACCCTCTCATGAGAAAAAAGTTCTCCTGGGAAACTAAACCTGTCTAGTGCTCGGCTCATCTAGTCTAGTCTCCCTGCCATCATCCTCTTCTTCCCCACAGAGCTACCCGAAGGATGGATTTTACTGAACTCATACAGGTTCAGTTCTCAGATGAAACTGGATGCTGTCTGTCTGGAAGATCCTGTCCACAACTCTGCCCTGGAGGACCTCTGTCTGGAAGAGATCTGCCTTGATGACCACTGTGTCTCCCTTGTCGTTCTAGTACACAGAGATGAAGACCACATGCTCTACGATCATCCAGAGCTTCCTGGGGAAGGATAGCCTGAGGACAGTGTTGTTCTCTTGCTTGTTGGCTGTTTCTGGGTTCGGGCCCTGTGGGCGGCGGGTTGTATTGGGAGCCCAGATCTGGGCTCTTGCATTGGTCACCCTGCTTCGCCAAAACCTCCCCTGAATGCACATTTGCATTGTGGAGGAATCAGGGGCGTCCCCTGCTGCGGGCTCCCCATCAGTTGATGGGGCCAGCAGGGCTGCGTGTGCTTCATTGGAACTCTGACTATCCATGGAGCCAGTCTAGCTCAGGAGCATCCTCTACCCAAGCAGTGAACACTCAGGGCAGAAGGACCTCAGACCAGGGTTGGGGTGCCCCATAAATAATCTCTGGAGATTCTAGAATCTGGCAGCCAATTAAGTGGTCAGCTCCCTTAATCGTTTCATGATGTCACAGAAGTAATGTGGAAAGGCAGCCCTGGCCCAGTGTGGGGGAGGGGTATTTGGGCAGAGATGGGGTCCCCAGCTTGTTTCTTGTCTGAAAGTACAGAAAAGCATGTTTCAGTTTGCCTGCAAAGGCTGTCATCTGCTGCCAGGCACCTTGTTTCAGGGGGCCAGGCCCTGGATGGGTTGACAAACGTGCCCCTGGCTCTACCCCCCTCCTTACAAACAGGCAGGCCTGTGGCTGCCTTCTGTTAAAGGGCCAGGCCCTGGCAAACCCTGGCTCAGCTTCTACCAAGAGAGACCCCAGGGGTCAGATGGGCCCCTGGCGAATGGTCCCTCCCGGAAGATGGGGTCCGTAGTGAGCTGGATGGCCTAGCCTGAGTTGTTGGTCCCATTCCCCCAACCCCCATCCCCATCCTTGCCCCTCTTCGGGCTTTGGTCTCTTCTAGCTGGTGCTTCCGGTAGGTAGGTCCTGCTCAGATGGCTCCAAAGTCAGAGTCCTGTTGTCCTGCCCCCACCATCCCCCAGGTCGAGCTCTCCCCAGAGTAGGGCCATGCTCGAGCACAGTGGGAATGACCTCACATTCCACTTGACTGTTCCCCCAGCACCTGAGACACAGACTCCACACGATGCCGTGTGGGAGGGCACAGCCAGGTGCTCTGCTGAACTTGCAGCCTCCTGAGTTCTGCCCATGCCCGGACATCATCCCACTGGACATTACAGGTAGTTGTCTTCAGTTTCCATTTTTTCCTATAAAGACTGCTCACATGGCCCTAGAGTGCTCACCTTGGGAACACCAAGGTGTTTGCTTTTCCCACCCCCTTCCCAGAGTCTCGGACTTGGATTCAGACTCCCTGGAGGCTGCCTTGGAATCTGTTTCCTTTCATAAGTGGGGTGGTTTGGCTTCTGCTATCCCCGGCCCTGGCCTCCCATGGCCAACTTGGGTGTCATGTGGGTACATGCCCTTTGAAGGACTTGATTGGGGGCTCAAGGTACAGCCTGTTCTGTTGAAAACAAGCACTTCACTGGTCCTCTCCAAGGCCAGCTCTGATCTTCTGTGCCCCTGCCGCTGCCCCTGTCCCCACCACCACTGTGGACCTCTTCTGCCTTACCCAGATGGCTGGTACATTGAATGATTTTGTTGCCTCACAGGTTAGGTGCTTTTCAAGGGGCCTCCTTTACACACACTCACTCCCAGGGGTCAGTTCTGAGTTGTTGAGCTAGATGTGACCAAAGGAAGCCCCTGTCTACCTGTATTTGAAAATGGATGAGAGTCTGGGTGTGGGACTGGTGAAACCCAAGTGAGAGTCGCCTGTCTTCACTACACATGAACGACAGTGCAGTGGGTTTGGAGATGCATGTTCTCAAACCTTTGTGGGCCACTTTTCTTCAAAATCACCATGTAGGGGACAGAACAGCACCTTGGAAAGGCCCACGTGTGAGGACTCTAGGGCACTGTGCCCCTAGAGATAGTTTCCCATTAGTTCTGCCCTGCAGCA